AAAACACAAACAAGTCAGCCAAGACTTTTCATCCTCAGTTAGGTCAGGTTTCAACCCCTCTAGGACCTCGCTAGAAGTGGGTAAGGGAAAAAGCTCCTTGGGTTTGGTCTTACCCGTGGTCAAGCTGCGAAGTGAAAAGACTTCTAGGAGCCTAGAGAGTAAAACATGCCCACATGTTCCTAACGTCCTCTCCAAAGGTGCGGTCAGCGCATTCTCTTTTTCACGCGCACGGCCAACGAAGCTGCCAGTCATCTTGAAGTCAGCAGCTGCAAAAGTTGGGCCATCGGGCTCATCCCGCGCGCCTTCTTGACAATGAATTCCACATTCTCCGGACTTCGCCAAAGCTGCATGCAGAGTTGGGGGGCGCAGCTCATAGTGGGATGTAGGCCCATCCCTATGTTGCACCCCGGTGCCAGGGGCAAGACAGGATCGGGAGGCCGGATCCACCCCTCCCTCATACGATCCATCGCCAAAAAGTTTGGCACCAATTGGCTCAGGAGCCTGTGCTCCCGATGTGCTCTTCTGCCTACTTCCTCCTTCTCTTCCAGGGCTCGTCTCCTTTACTCCTTCTTCTTCTTTGGGGGCTCTCCCCTTCCTCCACCTTTGGCACCTTTCTTGCCTCCGTCTCCATGCTGGCCAAACCTGTCCTTTCCATCTCCACGACCTTTGCCGCGGCCTTTGTCTCCTTTTGAAATGCCTTTTCCCTCGGGCATCGACGCATACCACCGCGCCTTGGACTCTTCGTAGATCTCCTTTTGCGCAGCCACCGCCTCTGGGACCGCCGTCAAAGTGACTGAGTCGGGTGGTAACACCTCCAACCGTTGGGCGATTGACCAGTGGCTCCCGGTGAGGCTCTGCTCTATACTCTTTATCCGCTGAACCATGGTGTCTGCCGCTGATGACACCTTGCCTTTCAGCAGCAAGTCCAAGGAGTGTGACAAAGTCAGGAGCTCCCGAAGAATCGGTCCACTTGCCCGTCGTTGCAGATGTTGCCGCAGGTAGGCTACCGCAACGGGGTAGAGAACGTTTGGTCGGTCCTCGTACCCAACCTCCTGAAGGAGGCTGCTCCTCATCTGCCCATATCTGCCCCATGGCTTGAGAAGCCAGAGCCCCTGGAAACATCTCCGCGACCTTGCGGACTTTTGAGGCCTGCTCGAACAGCGTCTCTTCGTTCTTCTCGCCGTCCTCGCTGATGCTGGTCCTGCCATCGCTCCCGGTATCGCTCGAGGAGCTCCTTTCGCTCTTGCGACGAAGGTGGCGCCTGGCGCGCCGGACCACTCGATTCGACTCTGACTGCTCCTTTTCTTTTTCTTTTTGGACACCTCTTTCTTCTCCTTCTTCTTGACCTTCTTCTCCTTGTTTGCCTTTTTCTTTGCATCCTTCTTGTCCTCGTCCATCTTCTCGTCGGCGCCTACGTGGGCTCCTCGGTCTCCCGGTGTCGCACGAGTGCGCAGGAGAGCAAGCTCGTCTTCCTCTTGACCATCGCCCTTCTCGAGATTGCGCACCCAGGCCTCCTCCTCTGTGGCTGCCTTCATGGGACGCCCCACGCGAACATGGACCATGTCCTCCGCCACCTCCTCCTGATTGCACCCCAGTGGGCACACATGGCACCGAAGCTCCTTCTGCGGTTGCCCGGTCACCAGCTTCAGCAGCTTCTCGTTCGAAGTACCTGTTGGCTTCAGCTTCAAGTGCACGGACCCACCACTCATCATCACCGAGGTTACGGCCCCGGCCACTTGCACAGGGCGGTGGTAGTACGTGCCATCTGGCACCACTAGCCCCGAACCTCCCTCCAGGCGACGGGGGTCCAGCCGGTGAAGAGTCGCAGAAAAGCCGCTGTCCCATCTCTTCGCCGCCTCTGCTTCCAGGTCGATCCCTTGCTCCTCTTGAACTCCTGGCTTCTTTGCTTTTCTTGCACCGGCGGCTGCGGGGCGCTTCTTCCCAGGAGGTCCTCCTCTTCGACCTCCCGCTCCAGGAGCCCCGCCTCCCAGGGCTCCCGCTCCTCGAGCCTTCATCGCCCTCGCACCCCTGAGGCGGGGCGCTGCCTTGCTCTTTGCCTTTGGGGCCATGGCTCCGAATTGTGAACTCGGCGCCGGAAATCCCGTCCTCTCTGCCGGTGGGCCGCGCCCTTCGACTTGCGTTTCTTAGACCTCGATCTCTCTCTCCTCTGATCTCGATGCCTTCCTCCAGCTCCCGTTCTCTCAGGAGGGGGACCTGATGGTTCTGCTGGTCGACGCCTCCTGACGTCGTCGTTCTCACGCAATTGGCGGGCCGCCGATCCCCGTACGGAAATCGAACCCAGGCCAAAGCGATCTGGATGATCAGATACGAACTTGTCCAAGTCTTCTTGCGAGACCTTCTTGTGTCCTTCTGCCCTGATTTCCCTCTCTTCTAAGGGTTCAGCCTTCGCTGCCCTTATAACGTCTCCTCTAGCCTCCCTGCTCCCTGCTGCCTCTTCTTTGACCTCAGGAGTCTTCTCTACTCCCGGCTCGTTAAGACCCCTCTCCCGGGTCTTCTTCTCCTCACGCTTCGCTCTTCTGGCCTCCTTCTTCTTCTTTTCTTCCGCCTTGTGGTCAGCTGCAGGTGCAGAGGCCTCCGCTGCAGCAGCTGAAGGGGTGGCAACCACTCCAAGGGCCGGCGCTGCCCCCGCAGAGCCAGCAGCTCCGGTTTCCAACCCAGGAGGTGGCACAAATCTCCCGTATTCCTCGTAGATGTCCGAAACACCCCCAGCCGCTTGCCTCAGCACGCCAAGCACCTTGGCCTCGTGTTCCTGGGGTAAAATGCCCTGAGTGATCAGGAACTTCAGGCGCAACAAAGTGCGGCAGCAGGGGCAAGGATCACCGTGGAAGTTGTTACACGTTCTACAGGACATATAGAGCTAAAGCCACACACTACGGAGCATGTTCAATGATCCCATCTTTACTACCGGGCCGGAGATACATATATTAAATATATATACCATGATAATAATGGATAAATCATGATAGCTCATGATAAATTGTAGCAAAATTATCAATGGATTGGTTAAAGGAAAATTTTACAGGAAACCATAGATTTTTCCATTAAATATGGGGCTGTCCTGTAGATGTTCCTTAAACAAATCCGTTGAAACTATGTACAAAGGTCCCTCATGCCTCCGTATGGGCACCCAAAATCGAGTAGCAATCACAAGGGACGCTGGTTAAGCTGCTAGCTGTCCCCTCATCACAGCTCTTTGCTCTGTTGAAATCTGTTGTGGCAGTACCTCTGCTTGCAGGAACATCCCACTAAGTAAATGCAGTAAATGGTTCATAATTGGTATAAAATGAATTAAAATGATATAAATAACTCTTAGTCTTGTTCTGAATTTACTTTCCCACATTAAGGTTATCCCACCTAAGCGCAGGGGTGATCCATTGGCGATCGGTGAAGGCCTTGTGAAATCTCCGACTTCACCTCCCCATTCCTCAGCGGGCATCGAGGGGACGAGGGGGCAATGTTGGCGAAGGGATGGCACTCAGTGGGAAAACGAACCAACCCCCCCAGAAACATGGATGGAACTTCATGAGGCATCTAAAATCTACAACTTACTTGACTTGCGTGTGCCGAGGTTTAATTAACCCAGTCCGCGTAAAGTCAACCCACGGAAGGGGTGCACACGCATTCAGCGTGAAGTCGACACAGTGAAAAGTCAACCCTGTTTGAGCAAAACACCATGTGCACGCCACCAAACACGGCTCCAGTTCAACCAAACACCATGCTGGATTTGCACGAATCATTGCGAAACACAGGGACATACAGGGACCCAGTACTTGGAATGAAGAAAACACTGCGCACAGCACGTCAAACATGAAAACATGAGAAATCAACATTGCCAGAAATAGCACTTTGTCATGCACTTCCCATAGGGCACACCACTTCGAGTCGACTTTACTCAGGACGAGTTGACTTAACCTACCTGCCCAGTACATTTGAGTTTCATGTTTGGTGACCCCACCCCCAACTCATTTCAAACAAAAACAATCAAAAAGATTCAAACAGTAAAAGAGTAAGAGGCAGCATGTAATGGGATTCACATGCTGAATCCAAGCATCCGCAGGATCACCATGGTGCCCTTGGAGACGATGAAGAAATGAGTGCCTTGCAAGTCGACTGTTGGGGGTCGGTGTCAGTTGAGCAAATGCTATGTAAAATAATGTAAATGATAAAAGAAATTAAAAGAACTGGTAACTGGATATCCTCTTCTTGACCCTTTCCACAAGCCATCTCATGCCATCAATGCTATCTCTATATTTGGAACCCCTGAACTCCTCCCAAAATTCGTCTCGTTTGGAGATACAAACACTCATGATGCATTGATTTCAGGGGTGAGTTCCACTCGTTGGACTTCCAAGATGGGACATAGCCGACATAGCCATCCAGAATTCCCATTGCCTCTGGCACTTCCTTGACGTGTCACTTGCGTGCCATCTGGGAATTTGAAGACCTGCGGCTGAGTCAACTCCCTTTGGGACCTCTGGTGTCACTTTGGATGCCAACAACCATGGGATGATCCGAACCGTGGCAACCAGATCAACCAGGGACGATCATTGAGTAGCAGCAAGCAGTACACTTCCATGTTATATTTACCAGGCCGTACTTTTCAATAAGGGATCTGTTCCAACGGCTCTACAATTTTGCGCCATCATTACATGAGTTGAGCATGGTTACGCCTATTTTAGGCATGGATAATAACAGAAGCTATATAAAGGGAAAAACCAGGAAATTGGGCATTCAATCCCCCAAAATTGGTGGTTTTGCCCGTGCCTCCATAGCATCGATGAGCTTCTGAATGGTCTCTCGGTCCACATCTTTGAAGTAAAGCAGTTTCCTGCGGATTTCCGCATCTTTCTGAGGATGAAACCTGGAAATTAGCATGAACAACTATGAACAACTAGCATAATGTCATGTCATGTCCAACCGGTCCAACCAGTAGTAATATTTCAAAGTTCTGGGTTCCAAAGAGTTGCCCCATCGTTGCATTTTTTTTATCGTTCGGCGCTTGACAACTCCCTTGACGTCATTAATTGATGGGCATTGACTCGAGGCATTGCCAAAATGGCGTGGCCAAAATGGCACAATCATCAAATTTGTAAACAATCGACCGCACCAAGGCGAATTCATGTTCAGTGCAAGCTGGTATCTCAGGAGTGCCAGACCCTGGGAGAAAAAAAAAAATCATGCCGCCGGCAAGACATCGTGAAGGCAGGGAGGAATTTGTAAGCGAACCTGCTCAGGCCGCAGCGTCGTTGAAGTTGCAAAGTCCAAAGCAGGGTTGTGCGATTGTTCCATGAAAAGTAATTTAATATTTTATTATATCATATCATATCATATCATATCATACTATATTATATTGTAATATATTATGGTATATTACTTTATTTTATTTTATAGATTAAATATTACATATATATATATATTAAGTAACCAGCAACAGTGTGATCCATGGTGATCCAATGCATGAAGGTCTGTGAAACGGATCGTTCCTCCAAAAAAATTAATGGCAAAAAGAGAATTCCATCTTTGTTTCTCATTTTTGAGGTTTCTTGCTTGCAGGTAATGTCCAAGCAAACCCAGCATCACCAACCACCAATGACATGCACCTCGCAGTCAGCATGTAAAACTTTGCTGCCTTTGGATGTCAAGAGATAGACTTCATAGTGACCTGGGCAATTACTTCCAGGCATCCAGCAATTCCAAATGGATACGTGGATGGTGGATGGGGTGGAGGTATTCTGTGCCCTGTCCAATGCCACGTTGCTGTTGTTATCTCCGGAGCTCCGGACTGCAGTGGGGTTGACAGTGACCGACTCCATTCTTAGCAGGGTGGTTCATTATGTTAAGTGTGTTTTGTGGATGGTAAAAGAATTTTGACCCATATCTTTGTGTATTATATATATACGTGCGTGTGTGTGCGTACATGTATGTATGTATGTATGTATGTATGTATGCATGTATGTATGTATGTATGCATGCATGCATGTATGTATGTATGCATGCATGCATGCATGCATGCATGCATGTATGTATGCATGCATGCATGGATGTATGTATGCATGCATGCATGCATGTATGTATGTAGGGATGTATGCATGCATGCATGCATGCATGTATGTATGCATGCATGCATGCATGTATGTATGCATGCATGCATGCATGCATGTATGTATGCATGCATGCATGCATGTATGTAGGTATGTATGTATGCATGCATGCATGCATGTATGTATGTATATGTATGTATGCATGCATGCATGCATGCATGCACGCATGCATGTATGTATGTATGCATGCATGCATGGATGCATGTATGTAGGTAGGTATGTCTGTTTGTCTGTCTGTCTCTTGTCTCTTGTCTCTTGTCTGTCTGTCTATCTATCTATCTACCTATCTTCCTATCTACCTATCTACCTATCTACCTATCTACCTACCTACCTACCTATCTATCTATCTATCTAGCTAGCTATCTATCTATCTACAATCACCCGTGTCGTATCGTGTCTTTACCCATCGAACCGTGAATTGTGTGAGCGCACCAAGATGCAGCAAGATGCACCAAAACCCTCGGCTGCAATGCTCTTCCCACACTCCCCAGCCGGGCGGCGGCGGGTATGCCACGGTCCGCAACTCATCGGCCGTCGGCGCAGGTAGCCATCATCTCAAACACACAGCCAGCAGTGGATGGGAGAGAATATTCAACCAACATCAATGGAAATCAATTAATCAAAAGAAGTTTAGTTCAGTTAGGAGTTTCCGAGTTACAAACGACTGTCACGGTTAGCATTTCCACCATCATGTCAACCGCATCATCATGTCAACCAACCATTACCGGAAGTGCAACTATTTGGAAGCGTGTAAACTCACGGGTGAAAACAGACTCGGGTGCAAAACCCTGTGTTTTCTCGGGCAATGTTGCTCCTGGGGTCGCCGAAGTAGGGTCTCTGTTTCCGCGGTTCCGCGGCTCGATCTGGGAAAGTTGTTGGCAAAAAGCGCACAGGACTGTAGCGATAGCTCGGCTTGCACTTCAAAATCGCCGGAACACTTTTGGAAAAAAATTGTGCACAAGACTGTAGCGAGAGCTCAAAAACTGTCACTGTCACGTTCGGAGCAGCCCCGGGTTTGCGCGGTCAAGTCCCAATTGTCAGCGCTGTGCGAACGTTGGTCGATTTGGCACGACGCTCTTGCTATGCAGGTTTGCAACCAGCTGTGACAAAACGCATGGACATTGCTGCGCGCCGCAAAGCATGAGTGATGCTGCGACGCTCCTGGCAAGTGGGATTGCAGCTGGAGGTTGCTAAACGACTTGTACCAGCTGCCGAAGAGAAGAAATGGATTGCAGAAGCTACAGAAAAGCTAGCTGGGAGGCAGCTCAGAGCAGAAGTAGCTGCTCGGAGAAGCAGTAGCTGAGACCACAGCGAAGGGGTCGCAGAAGTAGCTCAACAAAGAAAAGGAGCTCACTCATCCATCAATCCATCCATCCATCCACCCATCCTTCAATTCATTCGTTCGTTCATTCGTTCATTCGTGTAGGCACTGATTCTTCATTAATTAATTGATTCGTAGGTTCATGGTTCAATGACTCATTGATTCACGGGTTCATTGGTTCATTGATTCATTGAATCGTTGATTCATTGGATTCAATGATTCAATAAATTAAATCATTGGGTCATTGATTCATTGATTCAATGATTGGTTCACTGATTCATTGATTCACTGTCTCATTGAATCAGTGCTTCATTGCTTCGTTGCTTCATTGATTTACTGATTCATTGATTCTTCGATTCATTGGCTCGTTGGTTCGTTGATTCAATGATTCATTGATTGACTGAATGTAATGAATCATTGGTTCATTGATTTATTCAGTCATCTGTGCATGGATTCTTTCATGTCCTTTCACTGGCATCTCAACAACCGTTTGCTCATTCGTTGGTGCATCTCACATCTTAAACACTTCGTTGCTTCTGCATCTCGAAAACTTTCTTACAGGCTATCTTCTTTGCATTGTTGTTTCGTTTTTTCGAAACTACCGCCCCGGGCCATGCCGGACACTACCTGGTATCAATCAATATCAATTATAAAGTTGGCCTGGGGATGACTGGATATGACTGGATGAATATCCAAAATGCCCCAAGGATCCCGCCAATGCGACCCAGGCACTCACCAGCAATGGAACCAAGCCCTTGTAAAAGGCGGTGATTTTGGTCTGCGCCAGAAGTCCCATCCCTTTACCTCGGCCAAATATGGACTTCCTAATTACTAATGATGCCATTAATACGACGATAGGGCCCTGACAATCTTGGTGCAACCATTGTCGAGTCTTGCATTTCAATGGTAGGTGGGTGAGACCAAACCTACCACAGCTACAGAAATTACCCAGCCCTTGCAGCAAATACTAAACAGGTCGAATCGAATTGTCATGCGCAATGCCTCTTGCAAATCATGTTATATATATATATATTTATTTATATATATATATATTGCCATCGCATGCCTAGTTCATCCTCTTCCTCCTCCTCCTCCTCCTCGTCGCCGTCGTCGTCGCCCTCGTCGTGCTCAACCAATCAACCTGAGCTCTTTACATTTCTCTGCCAATGCCACTGCAAGCTTTTGCTCTTCTTGTCCTGGCTCTCGATTTTGAGCCATGGGTGTGTGTGAATCACTGACCCTAAGTTTGGCGTGATAATTTTGCAGGAAAACCTGTTGAATAGCGATGCGGCGATGCCCTGGGAAAGGCACGAAGGTACCAACTGATCGCACTTTTTTAAATTAAACTCTTCAGAATTCAGAATCTGTGAGGTGATCAAATCACCAGCCAGCACCCCGCATTCCCAACTCATCTGACAAGCGGTTGCGGAAGCAGTCCTTTGAAGCGATTTTGGAAGCTTTTTTTGTTACAAATTAGCGCCAAGATGTTCGTCATAGACCTCAAAGCAACATCGGTGAGACCCTATTGCGGGACGGGGGGTCACATTCGCCCCTACCTCAGAGTCACACTCGCCACTACCTCAATTACCTTTCTGCTCAATATGTCAGTCAATCTGGGGACAAGGGACAGTTAGGGGCGACTCAGGGACATTGGTTAGGGGGGGACCGGGGACAGTTACCTTTCACATGGATATTACAACGTAGCATCCGAGCGTCTTGGAAGATGCTTGACACGGATGTTACAACATAGCATCCAGAGCGTCTTGGAAGTTGCTTGAAATGGGTTGTTGAAACGTAGCATGCAGAACGTCTTGGAAGTTCCTGCAACGTAACATCCAGAGCGTTGTGGAAATTACTGGACATGGATGTCGCGTTGTGGAAGTTGCTTGAGAACGATGTTACAACGTAGCATCCAGAGCGTCTTTGAAGTTACTAGAAATGGATCTGAGAACCTAGCATCCCAAACAACTTTATTGGAACTGACTTTCCATGACAGTTTCGATTTATGCATACGCTGACTGTTAGAGCTGGAAAACGATCCTTTCCCACCCCTGCAAAATTATTGCGCCTGCCACGCAAAACGAGGTCGAGTCACATTCGCCCCTACACTAGGGTCAGCTGTGCCCCTACCTCCACCTTCAGTAGGGGCAAATGCGACCCCACATGAGGTAGGCGCAAATGCGACCCCTGTGCCAAAAAAGCAACATCGGTGAGACCCTATTGCCCTGTGGCAGAGGCAGAAACCGCAGAAACTGGGTCTCCCACTCAGGCTTGTGGCGCGTTACAAAGAGATCCACCGCCTCAAAGAACACTTCGGCCGCGCAAGTAGCATCATACAGCTTCTCCTGGGATGGGCCAACCCGTTTCTCTTAGGCCAAAAGTCAGGACACTTGGATGCACATACCTAGTTTGATACAGTTCATCTGTTGGGGTCATCATGACACTGCAGCTTGTCTCCAGCCGGGAAATTGGACATGGAACCTCCGGCTCGGTATGGGACAAATCGTTTGTTTTCGTCAGAACTGAACAGTCCAATTCGGCATTCCCAATTAAGATCCATTCTCATATAGGCATATAGGAGTGAAATCATATGATAACATCAAGTGTGCCCCCGTAGCTCCTGAGCCCTGCAAACATCGCAGTTCCCACAGCGGCTTCCAAACCTCACAGCATAGTGCCCTTCGGAAACGGAGAGAAGCATTACTAAACACACTAGCTGTGAAACTATCAATGCTGGACGTTTTGCCAGCACGTCGGGGTTGTTATCATCATCACCATCGCCCTCGTCCTCGTCGTCGTCGTCGTCATCATCATCATTATCTCACCAACCAACCAACCAACCAACAAACAAACAACAAACAAACAAACAAACCATGTGATCAATCAATCAATCAATCAATCAATCAAGCAAGCAAGCAAGCAAACAAACAAACAAGCATCAAACATCAAGCATCAAGCATCAATCATCAATCATCATTCATCATCACCACTACAGCCATGGCCATCGCCATCAACATGTTCATCACGGTCTTCATCACCTTCATCATGAGCGGAAACGAGTAATCTGCTGGTTGAAACTGAGCAACGGAGGCTCCTGGAAGAGGCAGAACCAGAACTGCTGCATGCGGGTTCACTTCAAAGCCTTTTCAAAATCCCTGGCCCCAAATAATAAAACCATACCCCATGTAGGCCGGGATTTAATGGGGGATGGCATTTACGAACTTTGGAAGGAGCTTTGCTCCTTAGCTCTCCGTGTCTACAGTAAGAGGTATTCATCATCCCTAGCCCCTTGGCTCCATCAATTCCCTTGGCCTATGAGAAGCAACTGTCTGTGTTTCTACATGTGTGGATCCACTTCATTCGATATTCCACACGGGGAGTTTGCTGGAACACGATGGACCAACCACTCAACCACTCAGCGGTCTCAAACTTTCAAGTAGTTGCCACCAATACCCTGCCCACGTCTCCTCGCCCATGTACTTCAAGAGAGTGCTCCAAAGACACTCAGGACTGTAAATCAAGTTGCGCATGCACTCAAAAGATTTCTTCTCCCAAACCTGCGGCTCGCGCAAGGCCCTGGATGATCTGTTGATCTTTTGAAACACATTTGTTTTGCCCTAAAGGGCACAGAGCGCCCCAGACCCACAGTGATGCTCAGTGCGTTGACTGCAGGCACCCTGCCTCCAGCTGGACAGGTGACCTGTGTGGTTTGACCTTGCTCCAGAAAGCGCGCTGAAGAAAGGATCGTTAGAAACATGAGAAATTAAATAGGGTGCCCATTTATGCCCATTTATGCTCATTTGGCACATTTTGGCTTTGCCCGGCCTGCAGCTTTCCAAATCCCAAAGTCCCTGAGGTGCCAGCGAAATCTGAATCCGACGCAATCAGTTCACAGACTGCAGGCTTCCCATCACGGCCAGCGCGGCCAATCCTGCACAACAGCCACTAACATGATGCGTCTCAGCAGCAGGATCACTCTCCTCATCTTTCAGGGGCTGAACCAACCCAAAACAGACTATTATGATGACAAGAACAAACCAATGGCAAAAATGAGATCATACTCTGCAGCCCAAGCATCTGCTGGAAGTATTGTTCCACCTGGCGCCAGTTGCCCATGGAACCATCAGGATGTGGCCCATGGTTAATTATAGACATGTTATAAACTAAAGTCTTTAAAGTGAACATCCAGAGTCGGTAGTAGATAAGCATCCCACAACTACTAAATCTACTAAACTATTTTCCTCATTTTGGGATGCTCAGCAACCAGATTTTGACCCATCCCATCAAGGAATCGTGCAACAATTGCTGCCGAAGGCGCCAGAGCGGGAGCGGCCAAATGGTAGACCCTGCGGATATTGGGGAAATCGATGCCAAGGCCATAAGCGACCTTGACAAAGCGAAGTGGCCATGGCCCTAATCAAAGAGTCAGTGGGTCAAGAGTAGACAGTTCAACCATTCAAATTCAAAGCCTATAGAAATGTCGCACATGAATCACTACATAAACTAAAAAACAAAACACTCGTTGGTTCAATGTTTAGCTGGGCTTCACTTGCTTGTGTCACAAGCGATTTCTCGTCAGGTTCCATCTTTGAAGGCAAGCAGCTGTCGCCACCATGATGTGGTCCCCTGCATGGGGCTGTGGCTCAGAATGAACCACCCCGGATGTGTATGGGTATCGGTATGGGTGTGATTTTTAACTGAGTGCTTTCTTGGGTCGATTCCTGCCCCTTTCTTGAGCCGTATCCGCCTTGTCAGTGGCTAAGACCACACAACGATTGTGCTTGGCCGGACATCAAAAGCACACAATGAGCTCTTCAGAGCGAAGCGGCGAAGCTATTGTTGGCCCTGTTGGCCAGAAATCCAACAATCATGGGCCATGGGGATGCCCTGCTCTTCATTGAACCTCCCTGTCATACTTACAGTATATGCTGACATATGCTGACACTAGCCTATTGCCTGCAACAGTGACCACAAACCAGACCACAAGAAAGTGCACGAGGGGGTACCCTCAAAAATAGGCACAATTCAGTTACTGGGTATGGATGACAAAATGCAGGTCGACATTGCGCACCTTCATCAGAGAAGTCATCATGTGCGGCATCCCGCTGCCCTGAGTCAACGAGTCAACGGCTCCCAGAGATCCAAGACATCTGGGGAGAAAGAAATTGGAAACGCCATCACCAACCCATATCCAACCCATATGCCAAAGGAGCTACCAGAACGTCCCAAGAGATTCCCTTGGCATCCCTTGGTCCTAACGTTTTGGATCTTTTGGCACCGATCCGATATCCCAACTGCAACTGCTTGGTACCACGCCAAACCCTCGAACCAGCCCTAAAACTCAATGCACTCCATGGGGCGCCTCACCAGCGACAAGCTACCCCAACGAAAAAAACCAACCGTCAAGTTGTGTCAAGTTGCTTTGATCTCTCTTGGCGTGATAGATTCCGACCTTAGGCAGCTGCGGATGTAGTGTGTCGCTTGGGCTTCTGGTCGCAAAGCCCAAACCTCTGAGACTGCAACCGTTACGTCGGAAAATTTCAAGAATTCCTGCCGGCTCGACACTGAGCCAAAAAACATCATCAATGAATCGTCGTCAATCATCAATCATCATAATCATTGATACAACACAATTGTCTTTCGCATGCTCATACATTCAGCACTGTTCTGACTGTTCTACACCAGGGGTCTTTATTGCAATCTGTACATATCCGTACTCCAGAAATCAACGACTTTGTGGGCCTTTGACCCCTCAAGTCCTTCAGCTTGGCGCCCACTTCTTCAGCTTCCTGGGGAAATCGACAGATACTCCGTTCAGTCGGTGTGTTCTCGGTGTCAGAAACTGATTCCTCTGGGACTCTGGAGAATATACAGGCAAATAGAGATTCAATTGCGGATCATCTTTACAAATAGAAATGGAAAACAAAACAAGTATTGAAACATCTTGAAACCACCACTCAGTCTTGTCCTTGCGGCGTTTCACGTAGATGATGGCTCTATCGCCTGACGCTCAGTAGCTTGTTTCTTGAAGCCGGGGTTAAAAAGTTGCGCCCTCAACAAATGGGACATGAAGATCATGAAGGCACTGCAATTTTGGGCAATCGCAACAGTAGTCTGTATAATTCTGTGTATGGTTGGTGGATGTTGGTGGCTTTAACACGCTTTAACCACCTCAACCCCTGAAACACCTATGAGTATCTATGAGTCACTTAATTCACTTCATCATGACCCCACTTGAAACATCTTGAAACGACCGACTGCAGAAAAGGTGACCTTTAAGGGATCCTTTTCCGAGCTCCAAATGTTCAGAAAATTGGAAGCCCATGGGCCCATGGGGCTTAAATCTTGATCCATGGAATCCATGACCACTTTGCTCTTGGTAAATCATGTACAATCAGTTTTCTTTGTTGCTAAGCTGGTGAAATCTGGTGAACATCCCCATTTCTTGCTGCTGGCACGGCTGGCACATCCCCATAGAGCACCACTAAAGCCCAAGTGGTCCACCGCCAGACCTTCTCTGCACACTTCGTCCTCGGAAAGGTGGTCCGCTTCAGCGAAACACTGCCACCCAACCGGCACGGGTTGAGAGCTGAAAAACTCAGCTGCCTGGTGAACACGCCATAACACCCTCCTTTATAGAATAATTTGAACAGTTTCATGTTTGAATCCTTGGATTTTTCCTATGTCGGAAATGATCGTTGAGATTGGGATTCTCATCTGCCCTTTTCGCGACTGGGTGTTCAAACTTCAATCCATCCAACCATATTTCGTACCATCTCCAACCTCTCATCAGATCCGTCAGCTCCTCACTTCTGCCCGAGCTTCAGCAATGCGCTCCAAATCTCGCTTCAAGCCCCGCGGCTGAGAACGTTTGAGGACCAGGTTGGGGCGGTAGGCCGAACCCACGGCAACCTTTGGGCCCCTGAGCTGGAGGTAATTGTTGATGTCATCCTGATCCATGATCAACCATGGTCAACGCACCCCGCTGAGGCCCACGATAACACAGCCTCCTTGCCTCCAGATGAGCGAAAATGTTTATATACCTCTAAGATCCTCCAAATATCTAAGTGTGTTGGCGCACCAGGAGTTGAGAGTTACCAAATCTTAGGGTCACCTGGGTGGCACGGCTGCCAATTGAAACTCAGTGCTACTGTATCGGAATCTCCTTGACGTCAGGTGTCTTGATGGCCGTCAACCTTGGATTGAAAGTCATTCACAGCTCCACAGCCAAGTAAATATGGCTCAAACTTGGGTACCCCCCAAAAAAGTATGGACAGTCTTTTAATAGATCGTGCCTGCTGACAATCATTATTAATCATTAATTATAATAACTCTAAGTGTGGGGTTCTGAGTCTCTTATTACAAGTTTGACCCACGCCGGCCGCCCACCTCACATACAACTAACCTCTGCAATCCCAATGCCATCCAGGCCACGCCATAATCGGCACCTCCGGAAAATCCTCACGGAAGAAGCTGATCTCCCGGTAGGACGGCCTTGGGTCAGCAGAACACCCTGAAATCGTGCCCTACAAAAAAGAGTTGCAACATGATTTTCCCCTTCGAAATTCCCGTTTTGAGATAGAATCTTAAAACGTCAGAATCTTGGATTCTTGCGGTGTCGATGACGTTCTGTGGCCACCATTTGACCCGCCCACATCATTTGTGCCCGCGCATTGCAGTGGCCTGAATTCGCCGCCCCATTCTGAGATGCTATGGGCTTCATCCACCGCTAGCAGGGCCACGCGGCCTTTCTCCACCAATGGCCTGGTCATCTTCCCAACTCAAGTTGCATGGGTCTCGTGGAAGTTTTCCAAGGGTATAGGTTAGACGCTCATCTCAGGTAGTAACTGGATGCAACTGCGGTAGTACGTGGTCAAGTGACCAGTTCTTAGACGGCTGTTGATAGGATTTTCCCCTGGACCCCAGGAATTGCAGAGGTATTCGCCATGGTCATGAACCACTTGCTGGGTGTCGTGCTCATCCAATGAGGGAAGCCTGTAGCATGGGGTGCCATTGGTAGACCTCATCGAATTCTTCTGCTGATGGTAACGGCCGGCAACTCCGTAACTCCCAACTGATGGTCAGCCAAACGACTGCTCAACACCCCGTAGCCTCAGGCGGAGAAGAAGATGGCTGCATTGGGTCAGCTTCTCGGGAGTGATGTACACCAAATTGAAATCTCCTGGCTGCGCGAGTTCCCAGCACTGCGTGCATTTGGGAAGGTATCATGGCAGAATCATGGTGCTTTACGGGTTTGCACTGCATCGACAGGTGGCATCCTCGAACTGCTGCTTCATCCATCTGGAATCTGCGTTCAACATCTTCATGGCCTCAGTCGAGAGAAGCCTAATGACCTAGTTATATTTGTCTAATTATAGATATCGAACCGCATCCAACCCAACTGAAACCTACCAAACCCACTGAGCCCTGCGCCTGATCCCAGGAAGCACGCCTTCATCTTGGACCCTGCGGGCGGCTTCTTTCCGGATGCATTTTGATCTGCATGGATAGTGCTTACCCCCCGGCCTTGCTGTTTGGCTCTTTCGTTGAATTTCTCAACCTGTTCCTTCATCAATGCGATCAAAGGGCTCACCTGCACAAGCTTCACAAGCTGCAAACCGTCTGGGCTCAAACAAAAGGAATCGAGCGGTGAAGGATCGAATTGAATCTAATTGAATCTAATTGACATGATTTGCCTACTATACGGGCTGATGGCCACTCCATGGACACATTCATCTTCATGGGTTTGCAATGGTAAAATCAATGATCATCAGTGGATCCCAAGGATCCCAAGGCCCTCTGGTTCTGAGGGGCAGGCCACAAGCACCACCTTTCCAGACACCACTGCAGGCAGTTGAAAGCACAACGACTTCCCAGTGCCCGTGGCCATGTAAACGCAGCTGTCCTGACAGTATCTGGCCGTTGGCAGTGTTCTACATGGCTGGTTGATGCCTGCTGCAGATATGCTATGGACAAAACAGCACATACGAGTAGCATTCAGATGCAGAACTGGAGGTGATCGTCTGAGGTGAGGTAGGGATGGAACATATTTATCACACCAGCAGCAGGATATACAGCTCTGTGAATTTGGTCTTGCTTCCAGTGACCTACCCATCATCGTCTGCCGCTCCCACGCCAGGGCGGACACTGGTCCTTCCCATCAAGAGCTGCTTGTGCTATTTCCCACTGGAAGGGATGCAACTGCTGAATGCCCAGAAACTGTTCTGCTGTGCTGAAGCTCATCGACCGCTCTTTGTCAACCTGCCATTGCCGCATTGCCGCGATCTACACTGAGGTGGCTGGGGAACAAGTGGAACACTGCAAATCATTGCAAATCTACATGCATCTACATATCTTTGAGACACTTCACTTCTGGAGAACAACTACAACTACTCCCTTGCACCAAACAGTTCAATCACCAACAAGCCCTCAGCTGAATGGAACAAGCATGAACAAGCCGTGTTTAAAGAATGAAGCGGCTGGACCTTCACTTGCCAATTTCAGAGGGCTTGAAGATTAGAATCTACAGCATCACACATCACCACACCATTAGTGAAAGTATCAGCCCGTGATCATCCAGAAAAACATATTGCCCAGTTATTCACCTTCATGATCTTCATGTCCATCGACGGCATCTCTGTCATCCGCACCCTTTGCTGTCGGCAGATTTTGCATCTGCGAAGCCAGATGGCCGGGAGAAACCCGAGCAGGATCCGCTGATTCCTGCCCCACTGCTGACGTCCTGCCGAACTGGGGGAATTGACTTTGGCGCATGAGTCCCAAAATGCATCCTAAGCAATTGATAGACCCAAGCCCTTTGCAAAGGCACAAAGAGGTTTGGCAACCTTTCCTCTGAAAGCAATATTGAGGTTTACTGTCTATCTAATTGTATAATCTGCATTATTGCGTTCATTTCTGTATATTATATATATATATATAATTGTATGTGTATATTAGTATATATATATGTGTGTGTGTGTGTGGTCCACATTAGTTAATCTAAAATCATCTAAAATCTGAACTCATTGTCCAAATTCCTCCAGGAACAGCTTGCATCGGCAGCTGAAGCGGCGCCGCGGCCAGCTGGGGCAGCGGAAGATGGGGCGCCTTCACTGCAGGCTCCATGGCGAGTTCGACGAGCTGGCACCGAGTGCCAGGGGCTAACGATATGATGTGCCTGGACAGCTACCACACAAGCACCATTCGGAAATTTGGATATTGGATAATATTGGATATTGGTACCAAAGAACCTTCATGTCCTTCATGTTTCTGAGATGTTGTGAGTGTTTTTGTTGTTGATCCACATTTTTCAGGTGCTGACCTTCGTTCTTGGTTCTCGGGTGCCGTTGAAATGCATGAGCAAAAATTCAAACTCATGCAACCCACCTTTGGCATGGATGCACAGAAACTAGAATGAAATTAGCCATGGGATCATCCAACATGTTCAATGTTGCAGTTCCCTCCAGCCTTGGTTTTTGCTCATGATTCATGATTTTCAAATATTTTCAAGCTACTTGAGCCCACACTGAACTGCACAAAACAAACCTTCACCAAAATCTTAAGCAATTGAAATCAACATGTACTGAAGATGCATTGGATTCAGGCTCAGGTGACGGGAATGTCAGACTCGGCCATCTATGGTTTGTAAACCCGGGTGTACCTTCAATGTCTGCAATGCAAATGGGCCCAATCTCCTGAGGATTCCCTCCGCAAAAGCTGCATCCTGAAGGAATGGAAACAAAACCCGTGCTTTTGCAAGGCTCTGATCCACCACACCTGGGAGTATCAGGGTGAACCGCTCATCCTTATTCAGACCATTCAGCAAAAGCTGGAGAAAATCGCTGAGAATGACCCCTTGCCAAAGTCTGCATGAGTAGTATTTGCTCGAGTCATCTCAACCCCATCATCTCACAAATATCTGCACCTCTTTTAGCAACAAGAAGTGGAAAACCTGTCGACGTATTGCCTCAAACTTCTCTGTGCCACATTGTGCCACATTGTGCCACTCTTGCTATATCTTGCTATATCTTGCTATTGATGCAGCTCATCTTCGATGTCACATCCCCACATGGGTCCGCCCTCCAGGTCCTTGGCGGCTCCCTGCAGCTGGTGCTTCTTGAGATCCACATCCTCCCGATTGTCCACGATCTCCTAGCACAACGACAGGATCCGATACGATCCGATAGGTGGGATGGGGATGGATGGGGTGATATCCACCCAGAGGCCCAGAGGCATTTTTTGATCGTTTTGATCGTTTTGATCTGTGGTGATGTCAAGAAGAAGGGCAGACAAGGCTGGTTGAAGGGAAATGTTTGAAAAGTGAAACTGTAAGAAGATCCTCTCGAAATGATAATTGCCACCTGGAGATGAATAAATCAACGATCAACAAGTACCGGAAGACCTTGAGTTCGGCCCATACCAGCAGCACCATCTCAACTTGTCGAATGTAGGCGCGGCATAGGATATGCTTGGAAGATGGTGCTGAAGTTTGGAACAACCCGCTGGCTGCAGGAGAAACAAGAAACTTGCAAAGCCAAGCGTTGGCAAGTCTGCCAAGTGATCCCCACATATCCATGCGAGTTCCCTAATGTTCCCTGGCCGCCCATCATCTATCATCACTGCCACCAGCCACTTAGCAACCAACAGCAAGTCTCCTTCATATGCTCCGGCATGCTCTTCATCATGTCCTGAGGTGAAATACGGCACCACCAAAAATCTGGGCAAGTGGGGTGTGACATGACATTTGATGCTTGGGCCACTGGGACATCTGGTAAGGCATGGTAAGGCTGTTTGGCTGTCGCGACATGTCATCATACTTCCCAGGTGCCTCCATCCGTGGGCTTAGACGTCCCTGGTCCCTCACCGCCTCGACCAAGAAAATTCAAACGGAAACCATGCAGCTTTGCGTGCATCATAAACACAGTAATTAATTAGTTTCCCGTGAACTTCCCCCCATCCCAACTATTATTACCACTTCTTTCACCAAGGACCGAAGTTTTCGCATCATCCTAGCTCACCATCCAGCCTCTGCAACCCCCGTCTGGGTGAAGGCAGTCGGCAAACGCGGCCGAGCCTCAGGTGCAACATGTTGGTTACTGAAAATGCCCCATATCTTGTTGCTGTGCAGCGTCGAATCTTGACTGGTACCAGGTACCCAAGTTTGTTTTCCCTCAATAACGGCTGGAACAAAAGCAACCGAGTACCCGGCTGGTCGCTGGTCAGGTTGCTTGTTCAATTCCAATAGCTCCTCTCGCGTAAGAGACCTCGGCATGGCGGTCTGCAAACACCAACTGGTGGGGGGAAACTGTGTGTATGCGTGTCGCGTTTGTGTGCGTGAGCACCAATAAGCCGACAAGTAAGATAAGCGAACAAGTGTACAGGTAAATAGTGAACGTGAGGCGACAAATTGATGATTAGACAACAGGTAATTGATAGATCAAGATACTGTACATGTAAGAATAAGATTGGTTCAATAATCTCTACACTTTCAAATGAGAAAATTGAATACACTCAAACGATTAAAAAAAATGTTCGGCCGCAGGCTGAGGGCAAGCAAGTGTATTAAAACACGTGTGCAGTATACAACTGGTTCACACTGCCCTGCTTTTGAAAGCACTGTCTGGTTGAAAATGAAGGGATGAAGTGGTGAAGTGCCCGCTCCATGCTCTATCTGAAATGCCTTGCAACACAACAGTCAGGAACACTCCTAAGGCCGTAAGATTCTGGAAAAATAAGTGAGTCTGAATACATCAGTATCCGTATGAGAATATGCTCAAAAAATGCGGGCCCCGGGAACCTGGCTATGGGTCAAAAATGTTGTACCACGCAAAAATGGCTGATTCCAAAACCAACTATGACAAAACTCCGTGGATCTACACCTGGTACCACATGTTGATCCAAACCCCTAGCAAAGCTCCAGGCCCATCATCTTCTACCGGCACCTGGCAAATGTCAGAAGTTTAACCCAAAACTGTTGGCCATGGGAGGGTCCAGCTGGGAGAGGAGGAGTCCAAGTTAAGTTTGGGGTTGGAAAGTCCAAAATTTTGAGATGGAAATAGATGGAATACGCCAAACTGACCCAACCAACACCATCTACTCTTCAATGGCAGAATCGTGACATTTTCCCAAAGCTGCTCACCCCCACCCATCAGACTGCCAATTGAGCGGATCTTTTAGGCAACGCTGCGATGGACACCAAGCCACTCAATTTGGGGTGTTTAGGCGGGTATCTGAGGGAAGCACTTCCAACTTCTGATTACACATCGGAGCAAAAGGGATCATTGCGGAATGACTCACAATCATTCAAAAACCAACACAAAAACTCTTCATCGTTTTGGGAGAACTTACTTGGGTGCTCCTGTCTTTGGAAGCAACCCATCACGAGCTGTTGCAGCCGGTCATCAAAACACCTTCTTGGCTGCCTCGAATGAGGCACGAAATCACAGCTGCATATTGGCTCCCAATGAGATCCCTCTTATTGACTGGGTGACTGGATGACTTGATCAGCTTCCTCTCCCATGGTGTTGTCATGGCATAGTCTTTCTACAATTGCAGTTGTCCAGCCCATTTCCTTGATGTCGAACCACGAGCAACTTGAATATGAAACGTATGCAAACCTCGTCACCTTCTGTGTGACACACCCTGCCTTGGAACTCTGGTTCTTCTTTTTATCTTTGACCTGATGGCAGTCTGAACAGCTGCAACTCCCAACTACAGGTTGCCCCACTCAAATCTGTAGCCAAGATCACCCCGAAATCATACGCAAAGACATTTCATCTTGCCCTGCCCCTTTACCTTCCGGTTTGCTCGCCTCCTCAGTATTTTTGCGCTTCAGCTTGGGATTGGCATCTGTGCTACCATCCATTTCCACCTCGGCAGAAGGTAGCCTCTCAGACAGCCGCATGGGAGTGATCTGAGCATGGCACCCCCATGTCGCGGGCGTAGGCGCCTCGGCAACCAAAAACTCCCTCGCCGCTATGTGTTTGTTCTTTAAGGGCCTTAGGTCGCCCCAAGTGACTGGAAAGAGGAAAAGAAAATGCATTGAGGCAATTGAGGCTGCAGTTGGGGCCTTCAGAGGGAACCGCATTTGGGGAGGCCACTTTAAGAAAAGAGTCCGGGTGCCTACAGGGGAAAAAAACGAGTCCAGACTGCCTTCAGCTGACCTTTCCAAGCTTCCCACCGAAGATGTCATCCAACAGGGCCATCTCCATGGGATCTGCCCCGTCCTAGCCGCGAACGTTGAATTTCCATGCTGTTCTCGGGATTCGGTTTGTTCATGTGTGTTCTGTTTTTTGCGAACTCGTTTGGGATGGGAGAAAGGATGCGCCGTGTAGTGTGCAGCAAGTCACAAGTGCAAGTGAACATGATAACAAGATGATTGGAAGATTCGATGATCAGAGATGGGCACATCCAACGGCTCACAATGACCTTGAACTGCTGCCGAGACGCTGCAAACATGTCATCTTCCTGCACTGTCTGCGGCACCTGGCAGGTGCTTTTCTTGGGCATTGAGAATCCCAAATTTCCCTTGGCTAAAAATTCATGTTGGGGGGTCATGCTCGCACCCCAGTATCAGGGATCAACCCAGTTGCCCATCTGTACCTCTGCTTCAACCTTGTCCGCTGCTTTGGGACCCTCAGCAGCCGCCGTGAAGAGGTCTTCCTGTGCAGAAACAGGTGGTCTCATGGCCGTAGACGAAAGTGATGAAATTAATGGAAAATGTTTGCATTTTAACATCATTACCATGTCATGTTTGCATCACCCCTACAAGAAGAGGCGTAGACGCATGATATACTTCTAAGCTTGTGGGAGCTCATGCGAACCCCGGGTTGCATTTTCAAGCGCATTTTGCGTGGCAGCCGTGGGACGGTCAATTGTTACCCTTTTTTGAATGCTTTATACTTTGAAGCTTCTGGCGGCAGGAAGTTGCGACCGGAATACGACGACACGGCTTATGTCATTATGTCACTGAGGATTTCTACAGGGGAGCTGTCACATGTGAAAGCTCAACAAGCGCAACTTTTGTCATACCAGTGCCTACCCCAATGTGAAGGCAATGGTTGGGCTTGAAATCCTCAAAGTGGGACACCGCCCCACGTGAAGTCCATACTTATCCCAGACCCCGCTCGCCTCATCAGCCACACCAGAGGCATTCACCACAGGGTTGTCCTGAGGCCACGGAGAAAGGCAGCCTGCTGTGGCACAAAGTTTCCTCTCAGGGTCCAACCGGTTTCTCCCCGAACCAAATCACCAGGGCAGTTTTGTCCTAGGCACACCGGTGCAAATAAGTTCGTCGCTTGCAGCTGTGATTCGGATGTACTTCATCCCGGAGCAGATCTAGTTTCCACCCATGTTTCGTATGTTTCGTTGAAGTGGTTCTTGATTGCGGATGATCGAATCTTATCATCGATCTAGTTCAGGATAGGTATCAATCACTCAGTTTGATGACCCCAAAAGCAACACCAGCCAAGCATACTTCTGGCGAAACGCCATCCCCACTTGAGCATGGGACATCCGAAGGATCTCGAGCATGGGCTGTCTCAACCAACAAACGGGCAGCCTCATCACGTCTCGGATGGAGTTGCTCCCCTTACGCTTTTTTGAACTTTGAACCCAGACTATGCCTTCATTCTCATAATATCTCAAAATCATACAATCAAAACTTCCATAAAATGCTTGTTCAGTTGGGTAGACCAGGGATTCAGGTCTGATATCCTATGCTTGGACGAACCAATGGATTCCATGATTGGGAAACCTGTGTCTCCTGCCCGCTGGTTGGCTTGCCCCATCAGCCACTTCTTAAATATGGCTGGCTGTAATAAAAATTCGACGAGTTGTGTGGTAGTGACGTCAATGATGATTTCCAAAAAAGTGGAATCAGCATGAATTCATGAATCAGCATGAACCAGCATGAATCAGCTCTATTTCATTCTATTTCCATGGTTTTCCATGGCTAATTCCCATATTTTTCCATATGGTCAACGGATGTGAACTGACCAGTTCCTCAGATCTCAACAAACCCCTGGGCCTCCCGACCTTTTCGGCCGCATCGCTGCCTCCCTCACGCAAAGGGCCCGAAGCAAGACGAACCGCCTGACATGATCTCACCAAACCATGGGCTTCCCCTACCACCGTACTATGATAAACCGTGCCTTTGAAAAAGAAGAAACATCATGAAACATTTACAGTACATCCCCCTCCCAACAAATAACTACAACGGCGACAGGTGAAAACTCTTTTGCATCAATCCAGCAGAATCACAATCGGCTCCCTTCATCCAAGAACCCCTTCTGCCCCACCAACTGCCTCCATGTCGGTGACGCTGCCTGTCACACCATCAGAACTCAAGATTAGCATGACCTCGGAGGCAAGCGCACGCGAAGGCTTCTTCACTCAAACCTCCACCAACCCCCCAACAAGCATCAGAATATATGGACCAAACTCGGCCACGCATGGAAATATATGAAGGTGCCAAAAATGGACAGAATGAACATCTTGCAATCGTCATATATCATCTATTCTGTTCAAACTACTGGACGTTGATAGCAGAGTCAGGGGTTTGGCCCATCTTTCTGCGCACTAGCGACGTGATAGAGACATTGAGACAGAACTTCCCATTGTATCCATTGTTGGATACACCTACATGTAGTGATGCTACAACCTTCTACATGCTCGTAGGGCATCAGTGTCAACCAATAGATACACTGCTGTCGGTGATTGCCCACACATACTGCCTATTGTTGGCCCCTGCTCTAAGTCCCACTGTCCAAGCACAGCCAAGAGACGTCTTCCTGAGAGGCAAGTGCTGACCGTTGTGCATAGGACTTTTCTTGGGGCAATACTCAGAAAACACAGATCTCATAGCCAATATCAACCAGATCATGATCAGTAAACCGCAGTGGAGCGAACAGATTGATGGATGTTTGGGGTAGCCCCAAATAGAAGCAATTACGCCATAAGTCGGGTTTGGCTTTGCCGTCAAGAAGTCAAACCTGGAGTCCCTGTCTCTGCACACCACAACATGTACACACCACATCAGGAATCATTCCAGTCAGTATCCGATGCAGATTCGAAGCAACAATGTGAACTCCCACCCGTCCCTGCCGCATCATCTTGTTCACTCAGAATCATTCTGAATCCCTGCGCTTCCCTGCGCTTCCCTCAAACAGCAACACTTCCCAGGTCACCTCCACAGGTCACCCTGCCTCCGGGTCGATCGCAAAGGCCGACAACTCGGGCACTGCTGTGACCACCTCGGCGGGGACCTTGAAATCCACGTCGCCGAAGGAACGAGTTACCGAAAGACCTGCGGCCACTTGGCCACGAGATTTCAGGATCACCTCAGCGGCAAGATCTGCATGTGTCGTTTGGAGTCTGCGGGGACGAAGGGCGACCCATCTGACCCTAACGTAACGCACATATGTAAAAAGTAAAAAGATGTAAAAAGCATAAAAAAGTTGGGTTGATCACAGTTAATCGTTCCAAGTCAAGATGAAGAATATGAAAAACGGAAAGGGATGCAAAAGGGTTTGAGGTCACCAAACCAGATTTTTGCCCCTGGCCTGAACCTCAATTCATCATTCAGGAGTAAATAATTGGTGGAATATGGTGAATAACTGGTGGAATAATTGGCGGAATTGTGTGAATTCCACCTTGGGCATGGAGTGAGACCTTTGCACTCCGAGAGTGCTGTGGCCTCCCAAGGGCAATCTGACTTTTTGAACTTTGAGCTCGCACTTTTTCCGCCTAGCAATTGCACCATTCAATCCTGAAACACTTTGGATTCAGCAGCACATCTTGGAGACCTGTTCGCTCTGCCAAAGCTATCAACATGCACCAACCTTTCATTTTCCCGTGGCCATTGTGTTATTGGAACATTGAAGCCATTTCTGGCCACTGCACTGTAGCTCCACGGCTCCACGTAGGATTTGTTCAGGCCGCTGGCATAAAGGGCTTTGAAACAGCATGCCAAATGTCTCCAAAGCTGTGCGAACCATGCATGGCAAAACCGGAATCGCCGGAATTGGTTTTCAAACTGGGTGGAATGGTTTCCGTGGCTTCCTCATCCTCCGAGCCTTCCTCAGGCGACACAGCCGTATCCACGGTGTCCACGGCTTCCACGTCTGGACCTTCCTCTCGCGGCACACTTTCCGGTTCTGAGGTGATTTCCATGGCTTCAACCGTCTTGGGCAAGTCCTGGGAGTCCTGGCTGGCACCATCCACCGTGTTGTCACTGGGTTCAGATTCAGAGTTGGTCTCCGTCTCTGGGTCTTCGAGGCTCGCATCCCACCAAGCGTCAGTGATACCTTAGGTTCACACATGTTCGCACAACACCTTACAGTAGACGATGATTTGACTTCTGGAAATTCCGCGTTTCATATTGTTCTTGATCTAGTATTGCGGACTTCCTTCGGGGAAAAAAGCCTTGGACACGGACGTGATGCCAACTGGGCAGGTACATCATGGATGTATCGCCCAAGACTTGAAGATCCATCAGCCCAGAATTTTTGGGTCGAGAATTCTACTCAAAGCAATTTCCGCAGTTTGGCAGGGTAAGCTTGACCCATGCCCCATACGCAAAACTGATTAACACTGGATGGTCGATGCTAAAAATGATCAGGTGCTCTGGTCGCGTGAAGCTTTAACTTTTTGACACCCCCCAGCATTTCACAATCAATGATCCCCCTTCCCACTGCCATCCAAATTCAACGGCTCACAACCTGGACTTGTGCCACTGGAGGGCGCGCTGACTGACCCTTGAAGGTTGGGAACTTCTTGCGCTTTAGGCCTGCAGCTTTCCACAAGCCTGTGCCGCACTTCTCCTGAAGGAAAGTGCAGCAGAATCCCCCGCACGATTCTCCAAGAGTGATGTTGAAAATGATCATGCGCACTGGCGGGCATGCCGCCTATCCCAAAAACATCAAAAAAATTTGATCGTTCACTGCGGTACCTTGGAAATCACCAACTAGCTGAAACCTTCACTAGGTGCACTTGCGCCCCTTCAGTAAATGGCCCTGCACGTTAGTTTGGAATGGACACACCGGTCGGTATTTGGCGGTGCCTTACGATCTACTCCTGTGGGCATTCCTTGTTTAATCACCATGAGCCATCAGCAAGACAAGAGCCCCATCGACACCACCAACAGCTAGTTCCCGCCAAAAAAGGAGCACAAACGCTCTTTGCCATCTATATCCACCGATTGCCCTGCCTGGAGATCTTTGAAGTCGTTCTTTTCTTCTGCCTGCATCTCCAAAGTCTCCCCAGGGTCGCACTGCAGCAGGATGGCCGCGAAGGTGTTGCGCTTGATCTGCGCCACGGCATCCTGGATGCTGCCTCAGCAGAAGACAGGTAGGTGCTGGAAATCCAGCCTTTGCGAGCTCAACGGATCAATAGAACTCCAAACACTTTCTGCACTTGTGATACGATAGGGGCTAAGAAGAACAGGCCCATCTCCGCAAAGGAATTTGCACATTTGCAAAGCTTGGGCAGGTTGACACCATGCTCTACCTCTACCTGAAGGAATCGCCCATGTTCTGTGGTGCGCGACCGCACCCCTACCTATCTTTTTCGCATCCAAGACTTCAGCTCAGTAACCATAGAGTTCAGCGTCCAAGCCGTGGAGCGCATAGAAGGTCCCCACCATCTCGTTGTATCCTTGGAGTTCCGCAGCTCCAAGGGCATTCCAAAAA